GAAACTCTGATTTAGTAAATAAAAGAAATATAAAAATATACACAGTGAGTTGGAATTGAAATGCTACAGTTCATTAGAAATATCATGACTGTGCTTCTCTGTGTGTGTGATTCTTGGAATATATATTTGTTTAATAATGCCTCCTCTCCCATATATTTTTACATGTGTTATTTTATCTTCACAATAGTCCTGGAATGAAATGCAGAATAAGTAAAATAGAGATTATTGGTTCTACTTACATAGGATAAAAAAGGGTCTCTACATGCTGAGTACCTATTGTCATATTGTTAGGTTATTTGTAGATTTAGGAGTTTTTGAATGTAGAGTTTATGTATCCCAGCTTTAGAAGTTTTATTTTAAACTATGTTATTTTTCTCTTGATTTTCATTGTAATGTTTATATTGATGTAAATATAATCCAGTCCCTTAACATTAAAATGCTTTTATTCTTTTACCTAGATGATGCCTTAATTTCATAGTAAAATACCTCTAAGTTTTGAGAAAACTACAAACTAATCACTAATTTTATCGAGGAACTTCTTGTATCATTAATAATTCTCCCCTAGCTCTTATTTTTTTCTGCAAATACTCTTGATCTCCAGACCTTTTGTTCTTTTCATAGAGAAACAGATGCAAAATCTTAGGCCCAAAGCTTAGTCTGAACATATACACTGGGCTAAAAAAGCTAGCATAAATAAAAATACATAAATATTAAGTTTCAAAAAGAATGACTTTACAAAATAGTGTATTGGAGAGTCCCAAGCTCAATAAAACCAAGTTAGTAGATGTGCTCTTGTTGGCCAGATAGAATAATCTGAGCCAAATCAGGAAGTTGTCCTACCATAGATACGTAGAGATGAAATCTGAAATGATCATTTTATTTATTTTTTATTTAGTAAAAAAATTTTAAAAAGACTGCCTTCATCCAATTCCTATCTCCCTCATATTCCACCTCTGACAACCACAAATCTGGTCTCTTTTTCTGTGTTTCATTGTTAATTTGTTTGTTTTTGAAGTATAATTAACCTGCAACACTGTGTTAGTTCCTGTTACACAATATAGTGATTTGATATTTCTATACATTTAAAACTGGTTACTGTAATGTCAAGTTACAGTATGTTACCATACAAAATTATTACATAGTTATTGACTATATTCTCCATACTGTACATTTCATACCCATGACTCATTTATTTTGCAACTGGAAATTTGTGCTTCTTAATCTCCCTCACCTATTTCTCTTCTCCTTCCATCCCCTTCCCCTTTGGCAACCACTATTGGTTTTCTGTACCTATAACTCTATTCCTGTTTTGTTATGTTTGTTCATTTGGTTTGTATTTTGAGATTCCAAATATAAGTGAAGTTACACAGTATTTTTCTTTCTCTGTCTGACTTATTTCAGTTAGCATAATACCCTCTAGTTCCATCTGTGTTATCACAAATGGCAAGATTTCATTTTATGACTGAGCAATATTCCACTGTATAGACATACCATGTCTTCTTTATGCATTCATCTGTATCAGTGGGCACTTAGGTTGCTTCTATATCTTGGATATTGTAAATAATGCTGCAATGTATGTGGGTGCATATATCTTTTCTAATTAGTGTTTTTGTTTCTTATGGATTAATACACAGGAGTAGAATTGCTGGACTATGACTTTCAGTACTATGTTGAATAAAAGTGGCAAGAGTGGGCATCCTTGTCTTATTTCTGATCTTAGAGGGAATGCTTTTGCCTTTTCAACACTGAGTCTGATGTTAGCTGTAGGCTAATTCTATGTAGTCTTTATTATATTGAGTTATGTTCCCTCTATACCTACTTTGTAGAGAGTTTTTATCATAAATGGATGTTGAATTTTATCAAAAACTTTTTCTGCATCTATTGAGATGATCATATGATTTTTATTCTTCAGTTTGTTAATATGGTGTGTCAGTTTGATTGATTTGCAAATATGGAACCTTGGAATAAACCCCACTTTATCATATTGTATGATCCTTTTAATATATTGTTGAATTCAGTTTGCTAAAATTTTTGTTGAGGATTTTTGTATGTATATTCTTCAGTGATAGCGGCCTGTAACTTTTTTTTCTGATATCTTAGTCTGATTTGGTTTCAGAAGGATGCTGACCTCATAGATGAGTTTGGAAGCATTCCAATTTTTGGAATAGTTTGAGAAAAATAGATGTTAACAATTCTCTAAATTTTTGGTAGAATTCACCAGTGAAGCCATCTGGTCCTGAACATTTGTTTATTGCCTATTTTTGATTACTGATTCAATTTCATTACTGGTAATTGGTCTCTTCATATTTTCTATTTTTTCCTGGTTTCTTCTTGGGAGATTGTACATATCTAGGTATTTGTCCATTTCTTCTAGGTTTTCCATTTTATTGATGTGTAATTGTTCATAGTAATCGCATATGGTTATTGTATTTCTGTGATAATGGTTGTAATTTCTCCTTTTTCATTTCTGATATTATTTATTTAGATTATTTATTTGTCTATCTTTTCAAAGACCCAGCTCTTAGTTTCATTGATCTTTTGTATTTCCTTAGTCTCTATTACAGTTATTTCTGCTGTGACCTTTTTAATTTCTTTCCTCCTAAATCTGGAGGTTTTTTGCTCTTCTTTATCTAGCTTCTTTAGGTGTAATGTTAGTGTGTTTATTTGAGATTCTTCTCGTTTCCTGAGGTAGGCTTATATCACTATAAACTTCCTTCTTAGAACTGCTTTTAACTGCATCTCATAGATTTTGGATCATTGCGCTTTCACTTTCATTTGTCTCCAGGTATTTAAACAATTTCTTCTTTGATTTCTTCAGTGATTTATTGCTTGACTAGTAGTATATTGTTTAGCAATCAGGTGGTTTGTGGTGTGTGTGTATGTGTGTGTGTGTGTTTGGCATTTTTTTTTTTCTGTAGTTGATTTCTCATCTCATAGTGTTGAGATTGAAAATGATGCTAGGTAGAATTTCAATCTTAAATTTACTAAGGTTTGTTTTATGGCCTAGCATGTGATCTATCCTGGAAGATGTCCTATGTGCATTTGAAAAGAATGTGTATTCTGCTGCTTTTGCATGGAATGTATATATATAAAGTCAATCTCATCTGATGTGTCATTTAAAGCCTTATTGATTTTCCTAATCGATTTTCTGTCTGGATGATATGTCCATTCATGTAAATGGGATGTTAGAGTCCACTACTATTATTGTATCACTGTCAATTTATCTCTTTATATCTGTTAATATTAATACTTGCTTTATGTATTTAGGTGCTCCTATGTTGTGTGCATATGTATTTACCATTCTTATATCTTGTTCTTGGAGTAATCTCTGTTCATTATGTAGTGTCCTTCCTTGTCTCTTATTACAGTCTTTGTTTTTAAGTCTATTTTGTCTGATATAAATATTGCTACCCTGGCTTTCTTTTAATTTCCACTTGCATGGAATACTTTTCCCATCCCCTCGGTTTCAATCTGTGTATGTCTTTAGATCTGAAGTGAGTCTCTTGTAGGCATACACGTGTGTCTTGTTTTTGTATCCTTTCAGCCACTCTGTGTCTTTCAGTTGGAGCATTTAGTCCTTTTACATTTTAAGTATTTATTGATAGGTATGCACTTATTGCCAATTTTTTAACTGTTTTTTGGTTGCTTTTGTAGTTCTTTTCTCCCCTTTTTTCTTTTATCTCTTCCCTTATGATTAAATGGCTGTCTTTAGTGTTACGTTTGAATTCCTTTCTTTTCTTATATGTGTTAATCTATTCTTGATTTTTGGTTTGTGGTTACCATGAGGTTTATATATAACAATCTATGTATATATTTGATTATTTTAAGTTACTGAACTCTTAAGTTGAAATGCATTTTAACAACCCTACATTTTCATTTCCCCACCCCAACATTGATTCTTTTTGACATATTTTATACTGTTTTTTTATGTATCCCTTAACTACTTACTGCAAGTATAGATGATTTTACTAAGTTTGTCTTTTAACTTTCTCCTGGGTTTATATATGGTTGATTTATTACCTTTATTCTTTATTTAAGTTTACCAGTGAGATTTTTCCTTCTGTAATTTTCATGTTTGTAGTCATAGTCTCTTCTTTTTCACTTAGAGAAGTCCCTTTAACATTTCTTCTAAAACTGATTTAGTGGTGCTAAATTCTTTCAGCCTTTGCTTGTCTGTAAAAGTTTTGGTCTCTCCATCAAATCTGAATGAAAATCTTGCCATCTAGATTATTCTTAGTTGTAGATTTTTCATCACTTAAATATAACATGCCACTGTCTTCTGGCCTGCAGAATCTCTGCTGAAAAGTCAGCTGATAGCCTTATGGGAGTTCCCTTATATGTAATTTGTTGCTTTTCCCTTGCTTTTAATATTCTCTGTTTACCTTTATTTTTTGCCATTTTAATTATAATGTGTTTGGTGTGATCCTCTTTGGATTGATCCTGTTTGGGACTGTGTCTTTCCTCTCTTTCCTGTTAACCTGGATGCCTGTTTCTTTTCCAGGCTGGGGAACTTTTCAGCTACTATTTCTTCAAATATGCTCTCTTCTTTCTCTCTCTCCTTTTGGACCCCTATAATGTAAATCTTAGTGCTTAATTTTGTTCCAGAGGTCAATTAAACTGTCCTCATTTCTTTTTCTTTTTTTTTTAATCTTACTTTATTCTTTCTGTTTTGCTTCAGTGATTTCCACTACTCTGTCTTCCAGGTAACTGAACCTTTCCTCTGTATCATCTAATCTACTGTTGATATCTTATAATGTCTTTTGCATATCACATATTATATTCTTCATCTCTGTTTGGTTCTTCTTTATGTTTTCTAACTTTTAAAACGCTTTTAACTTATCACTCTGTTAATCCATTCTTCTCCAAAGTTCTTTGAACATCTTTATGATTGCTATCTTGAACTCTGTAGGAAGTAGATTTATTTTGTTCTTTGGGGAATTTTTCTTGTTCCTTTATTGGGAACATATTCCTCTGTTGCTTCATTTTGCCTAATTTATTGTTTTTATTTTCATGTATTTGGTAGGTTGATTACATTTCCTGACCTTGGTAAAGTAGTCTTTTGTAGGAGAAGTCCTATGCATCCCAGCAGAACAGTCTTCTCTGATCAGCAGAGCTTTATGCCCGAGTAGTGTCACCTGTGTGGGCTGCATGGGTCCTTCTGTTGTGTTGGGCTGACTACTGTGGGTGGTCTGGTAGGTGTGACTGGCTCCAGGTCAGGTTGGTTGCCAGACCCTGCCTTCTATGGAGGCTGATGGCTGCTGGTTGATGGAACTGGTCAAGAGGCAACTGGCTGCAGAACCCTGGGGGATCTCAGGACTAGTGGTAGTCCACTGGTGGGCAGAGCCTGGTTCTAGCATGGGTGATTGCAGGGCTGTGGTTCTGTAATCTAGTTTTGGCCTGCTGGTAGGTGGAGTTGGTTCCTGACATGGCTGTCTGCAGGATCCTGGGGATCCTAAAAGTCATGTCATCCCATTGATGGATGGGGCTAGATCCCAGTGCCTCTGACTGCAGGCTCATGGATCATCACATAGCTCTTTTTCTAAGTCTTTCTTAAAAAGTAAGTTGAAGAAAGATGATCACATCTTTTGAAGATACATTGTGTGTAGTACATTTTTTCAAAACAACCTTTTTTGATAAGTCTGGAAAACATTATAAGCTTGAACTATGCTCATTGAAACTGTGATATCTGGTTGAACTCCAGCAAGGCTGAAATGTTCATTGCACCCCTCTTACTAATATTGATAATCATGATTGAATCAGTCCTGCTGTCATCTGCCTTGAGCATCAGGAGAGCTGAAATAATGAGAATGTATTCCAGTTACTTCTGTGTGTACAAGTGCATGTGTGGATGAATATGAATTGGAAAGATGTTAATGACCAAATAAGAAAGAATGTTGGTGAAAGGGAGAAGATTACATTAAATTTCATGTAACATTTGGAAAATCTGACTCTGTGTGTGCTGAGGGTGTGTGTGTGTCTGTATGTGCACTCGTGTGCATGCGAGAGTTCAGTCATGTAGGTGAGCTTTGGAAATCAGGAATACCTCTATCTGCCAGTCCCTCCTCTGGCATACAGAAGTGAGCCCCATGTTTCTGCATGAATTCTTTGTCAGTGTGGCAGTGGTATTGGTCTGTTGATGGATCCATACAACAGTGTTAGGAATGGCATTCTGAAAAGCATCAGATCTCCATAACTACAGAATGCCTACTCCAGTGTCTGTAACTGAATTTTACTGTTTGTCACCATAAATTACCATTGGTAATCAAAGAGGAGATCAATTTGCATCTCAAAATAAACCACTCACTGTGTACAGGAGCTTACATTATGCTCCTTATCTTAGATATGTTAACCAGAGCAATTTCAGCAATATGTGGATATCCACTATTATCTTCCTTCCCCTCATCATCACTTATTCATCCTTTGGTTCATCTAAAAAGGGCACCTTTGGGCTAATATGCAGAGGGTAAAGAAAGATCTGAACAACTCTTTCTCAATCTTTTGGTTAATTCTTACACTGTGAAACTCAGTGATGCTTGAAATATGGCTGAGGTAGGGGTGTCGGGGGTGTCCTTTATTTATAATTAATATAAATGCAGTTGCTCTAGGAATCAGATTTTCATAGGACTTCAAGGACTTTAAACTCTTGGGCTAAGACCTCACTTAGTGCATTGTTAGCAGACAAGTTTCATGCCGCTGTCTCCTACATAAATACCAATTGAACTTTGTTGAAGTTGGCCACAAGTATATTTCATTTCATTATACATATAATAGGAACAATGAAAAGTCTTTCTCCTCCTTAGGCTTTTCTATCACTGATCTAAAATACCTGGGAAAAAGCATATCTAAATCTAACCATCTAATCTGAGAGAAGATTGGTCTCTCTTACTAGTTTAATAAGGGCAGCTTCAGTGTTCACTGATGCTGAGCCGCTGTAATGATGTTAAAAGAGGGATGTGGTATCAACAGGGAAATTGCACATTCACATACACCTGCACACAGACATAACTGTATATAAATCTCAGCTATTATCTTCTAACATTCCCTACCTTCTTTAAAGGACCCTCCCTGGGAAATAATATAGATAAATAGGTAGAAATAAAAATATATTGTGGCTGGTGTGTATTTATATAAATACCATATGTAAGTGATATGTGTGTATATGTGGTGTGTGTTTGCATGTATGTGTGTATTCACTAATTCATTATTTTTATAAATGAAACAGTGACTTTCTCACCCTCAGCTATATTATACTTAAGCATCAGTGAGTGTCACAGTGAGAAAAATGACCATAAGGCTAAGAGTACAAGATGCTTTTGTAACGTTGCTTTTGTAAACCTGTGAATCAGTATGTTTACCAATATATATTCCTCGTGCAAATGTGTGCAAAGAACTTCACTTTTTGGCACATGCCCATGCTCGTAATCTGGACAAAATTATCCTGTCTTTATTAAGAATCTGATTTGCATATTCCCCTCCAAGACACTGCCTAAAAATGCCAGAGTGACTAAATGGTATCATCTTGTGTAGATGCCAGTGCAGCACGAAAATGATGATTCCTTATAGAGGCCAGAGGGAATGATTTCTCTTGATACCTTAGAGATTATTTGATGAGGAATTATTAAAACCAAACAGTTAGTTAAATTCCCTACAGTGAACTTCAGCTCCCTTTGACTTGTGAACCTCTCCTCGAGCTCAAAATTCCTCTAATGTGGATAATTACACTGATGGCTGGCCTGAGAAAATAGGCCACTGAAATGGGCTTTGTGTGACTGTGTTAATTGCTGCTGTAGACAAGCAGCCTGGCCCTTTATTCATGCCTCGTAAACCTTTCATCAAATGAGTAGATTATTTCTAATGCATATTAGATAGGATGAACTCATCTTCCAAGAAGGGCATCACTATATCTGGTGTCTTTTTTTTCCCCCCCTGAGAGAACTTGCTTTAAATGCAGCTTCAGCTTCAGGTTGGTTTTGCTAGAGATGTGCTTTAGCATTCTTAGCATTCTGCCAGCAGCCAAGTAGCAAAACAATTTATTGGTTTTTGGGTTCTGATTTGATGCTGGGTGCAGTTATACCATGTCAAGCAAAAATAATTGCTAATATGGTGGCATAGGTATCTTACCAAGGTGGTTTTGTGTAAATATGGGACATGTAACTTCTATTTTAAGACCTAGAGAAACAATAATGATTAAAACAGTGGACTCTCAAGTCAGAGGTCAAGTTTGAAATCATAAACAGAAAAAAGAAAGTAGTATATTAAAGCTTGGGCACACATACTATACCACTTCCTGCTCCAGGGAGGACTGAGCAAGCGTGACAATGAAATGATCTTTCTAACTCAGAGGAAATATGACTCTCTTTGGAAGATAGCGTATGACTAACAAAACGGAACTGATGGCAGTAGGAACAGCAGAGGTTATAAGGTCTGCAGGTCCTCATGCTATCCGATTTTCTGAGTGGAAGCTACGGGTTATCTTTGTGATCTGGGCATCTCATGATAAGACGGAGTTACACATTTCTTTGTTTATTCATCTCTCTGCCTATGACCCAGTGGGACGCAGAGCAGCCACCAGGAGCAACTGGAATTAGAATCTTCTGATCACTCTGCATAATAGTAGGCTGCTGTTTAAGGTACACCAAGCAAGGGGGAAAAAATGACTGAGCTCCATAACAATTCGTCAGAGATGTTAAGTCTCAGAAACATGTACAGTCTTGCTTACGACTTTAAATTTTTATACTGTAAAATTTTCAAATGTACAGAATCTTTCATGTTTTTCTCAAGAGTTGGGATTCTGAGGAGAGGGTGTATGAGGACCTTACACAGGCATGGTGAAGGGCAAGAGGATGGGGGAGGCAAAATGGCAAAGAAGACAGTTGGTGGCAAATTTTGGAGTCTTGATGACAACAGAGATAGATTTAAAGTCATTTAAGGCCCTAGTGTTTGCTCAATAAGAAGAGTTGGAAGAAAAGATAAGCCAAATTACACACGTGTGCGCATTTATATTAACATTAAGTGTGTGTGTATGAGTGTGTGTAACATTAGTGCTGAAGCACAAATGATACAGGTAAATGTATAGACTTAACATGTCGTAGATGGATGAAAATATTTCTCATTTATAAGTGTCAACAGACATCAGAATTCATATACATTTAAACAAAAACATTTGAATACAGAAATATTTCATGTAGATAATTTGCCATACAATTACCATATAAATGGTATTATCAAAGTGATTATTGTAAATAAACTTTGTGTACTTGTTGAAAAAGTGGGGAAATACAATTTGTGTATATTTGTTTTACTTTAGTAATTTACCAGAAAAAAAAGGACCTAGTTGATTTCCTGAAAAGAAATGACTTATTTCATACTTCACAGCTAATACACAATGAAGATTTTAGACAGAGGCTGAAAGATGCTTTGATAACAAGGAACTTAAAAATCAGAGTTGTAAGATGCACAAACAAGGAACTTAAAAATCAGAGTTGTAAGGTGCACAGAGAGAGATTAAATAAGATGATGTTGTTCAATGGAATGCCTTAAAATTCTCAGGGACCTAATATTGGCTGACATTATTTCCTATATATATGGTAAGTGGTAATGAGATTTATGAAGTGTTATTACACTCAAACTTACCAATAACCATTGTTCTGCTTTCCATTTTAGCTGTAGTCTAGAACATTATGTCTTCAGCCTCATAAGACTTTGAGAAATAACTTGGAAAACTTGAAGCAGCATGGTAATACTTTCTTAAATTATGGGATTTAAAAAGCAATAAAAATCACTTTAAAGCTAATTGTAAAACTCAATGGAACAGAATAGTCCAGGAATAGACTCAAGTACAAATGGGGTTTATTTAAATCAATAAAAAGGTGGTCTTTGAAATTGGTAATAAGTGATAAATTATTCATAAAACATTGTTGGAACTAGCCAGACTTTCCCTAGAAGAATGGAAAGGTGGATCAATACTTCACTCTTCACCGCGTGAAACATTCTAACTAGGTAAAAAAATGGGAAGATAAGAAATAAAAGCAGATGTTACTGAGAAAAAAAAGGGAGAATATTAAAAGCCTCGCATGGTAAGCCTTTGTTAGTACCTCTGTGATAATAAATAGGTCTGGATTCTAGATTGAGTCAGCCTGAAAAATGAAGAAGCCACCAGCCTAAAATGTATTACATTTAAAGCCACTTAAAAATGAAAGTTGAGTTGCTGCAGACCACAATGTCCCTGTGTGTGTTTGTGCATTTGTTTGTGATAATGTATAGAATTTGTGCATATAAAGTGTATTCATATGTGTGAACAATATTGCTGTTTCCCCGTTCTTCATCTACCTTCAGTTTCCAAGGTGGTCATGTTTATTCACTAATTCGATATATATTTATTGGAAACCTTCTATTGGCCAGACACTGTTTTAGGTGCTGGAATATACAGCGCCAAACAACACTCCCAGCTCTTGTGGTGCTTTTATTCTGACAATAAAAAATTAATTCACTGAAAGGTGCCCTGACTTCATAACACAGGTAGGCCTTGCTTCTTTTTAGCTTTCCTGCCTCATATTCCTGAAAGTAGCTAAAGAGAGTTTCATGTATACTCTCGAATTGTTCGTTGACTGTTGTTCCACTCCAGCACATGTCCTGTTGATGCCCACTGCCCACCATGGTCACTGCCACCATGCACTGTTCATGAGAAGAGAGATGTCTGTGCCAGGCCTGCCTTCTGATCCTTTCAAAGAGGAGAACCTAGAGATAATTTTCATCTTGGAATCCTCTGAAAGGTCCGTGAGAGGGATATGGATGGCATTTACTTGGGAGGTGATCTTAGAAAGAATAATAAGGAAGTGGAGAGGTGAGACAGGCGGGAAAGACAAGCTATTAAATGGTGCATTTAATGGGCTACTGCCAGATGATGTAGGCAGTGTACATGAATATAGACTACAGCTGGATGCTGTCATCAGTGGGCAATAGGGGTGAACTCCTCCGAGGACCCTCTGAAAATCTGGGTGAAATGTACCTCAGAAATTACCTTACCAAGGGCAAGGAAGCATGTTCTAGGAGAATTATGACCTCCAGAAGAGAGATGCAGAAGCCATCTGCATTTTTCTGCAGGGAGCCATGCATGTCAACAGATGACATTTGTGGTGGGCTAAGGGAAATAGGGGGACCACCTACAGAGCAGAGCAGAAGCAGAGTCTCACTGCCCTGTGACCGTGCTCAAGTGTGATGACGTCCTCTTTCCAATCCTCTGTGTCCTACATTATCTCTTGAGTACCAAAGTAACATAGCTTGCTCTTTGTGCCCCAGGGAGCCTCAGATAAAAACAAGGATATCTCTCCTTAAGATCCAGAGAAGATTTCCCTTGGCTGGACATATGGACTTATTTCCCCATTACAATTTCTTTGCATATAATTAACGAGTAAACCAAATACCTTTCAGAAAAAAAAGAGGAAACCTTTTTTAGTTATACTTCTTGTGGTTCCACCGTTGTGTTTGACAAATATATCTAGACGGCATGCCTGCATACAAGTTTAGGATTGAAATTGGAGCCCAGTGAGAGAGAGAGAGAGAGTGTGTGTGTGTGTGTATGTGGATGGGATACAAAATATAACATATAAGGTGAACAAAATCCCATTTTATCTTACCATTAGAAGCTGAGAAAGAACACCAGCCTATAATCTAGAACAGATGCCATTTCTCCAAAGTTAATGCACTGTAAATGATTTCTTTCTTGGGAGAATTTCTGACACTGAGTAAAGTTTAAAAATGAGAACCTTAGTAGTTGGGTGCTGTATAATAGTTTGATTTAAGGCCCTCATTTAATTTATGATCTTCAGTGAAATTTTTGAATTTTTGCTTTCTGAAGGTTGCAGCAGGAATAGCTTTCTGGAATTTTTAGTGTAATTTTTCCTAAATGCTTGTGTGTTTGACTCTAGTTCTCAATTCAGGGTGAAAACCAGTCTCTCAGAAAAAGAGAACTGTTGGCCAGAAGACCAGGCTTGCCAGTTGCTCAGCGAGCCACGAGAGTCTCAGAGACCCAGAGTGCTCAAGACCTACTTCCAGGCAGATGGCAGGAGTGCCAAAGGGAAAAAGAAAGACACGGTGCTAATGATTAGCATGATGTCTCCCAAGGAAGGAGGGCTGAGGAGTTTGCAGGTCCCTTGGATTCCCATCTGTGCATTTGGACCCAGTGCCCTCACTGGCATTCCTGTGGTCTCATAGAGGGATTGCATTTCTTGTTCTCTGAGAAAAGCAACCCCAAAAGGGGAAGCTGAATATACTCCACAAAAAAAAGAATAACAGCTCCTTGATATTATCAGAACGTCTCATTTGTCTATCTCTCTTTTGGAAGCAATTGACCCAACAGATAGATACTCAGAATTTCCATTTGAGGTAGAGTGTGTTGTTAAAAATGACATCTCTGTGACCCCGAATTCAGAATGTGTTTCAGAAGCAAAGATGCCAATTGAATGTCATTTCCAGAGAGAGAGATTTGTAGCACAGAAGTGATTGAAGAGGGCTTCTAAATTACGCCAAGCCTGAAGACATTGCAGGTAGATAAGGAGAGCCCAAGTTTGGTTTTGGAGATTGTAAGCCATTATCCAAACCAAAAATAAAAATATTTTTATTCACTAATAGTGATAATATACAGTCAGATTATATAATATAGTCTGATATAATATATAGTCAGAGTTTCTAGGTCATGTAATATATTCAATTAAAGACTGAATTCCTATAACTCAGGTTAATTTCCCGAAAAATCAGCTTCACATCACTTTGGCATATAACTGAAAATATATTTTGGCTTTTATTGCCCATTCTAATTGTTTCTGTGATTGTCAGTCCTGTGCATCTGGATACCTGGATGTTCCCTGTCTGTCCAGTCTTATCTCCAGCCACTCTCCCTATGCCTCACCATCCAGAAGATGAGTTGCTTTGCTTAAATTCCTTGAATAAACCAATTTTCCCACTTTTTCTTGTAATGTTTTCTCTAACTAGAGTATGTTTCCCTTTGTCAAGTAGTTAGCTTTTCATGTTTTATCACAGCTCAGTTACCACCTTCTCAAAGAAGCTTCTCTAAGCAACCAATGGCACGCCCCCACCCAACTATCTGATATTTCAGCATCCCTGTTTACTTCTTCCATTGTACTTATTAGCATTTAGTCATACATTTTTATGTGGATCTGTTTATTGTCAGGCTCCTCCAATGCATTACAAGTTCCCTGAGAGCAGCCCACCCTTAACTCGTTTTGCACTATAGATGGAGTTCAGCTCAGTGTCTGGTGTATGCTCTACCCTTAAAAAATAAATCAGTGGCTAAATTCATGTAAACTTTCATGTAAGTTGTGTTCTTTGAGTTTTGGTGCACTCAGCTCTGGGCTGTAGTCAGTGTCTTCAGTCCCTTGTGTGTAGTTCTCACTTCACGAACCAGCATTGGAGCCAAACCCTGCATATATTTGTCATCAGTCTAGTTCCTGCTAATAGAAGAAATTTGAAAACAGATGTCAGGAAGAAACCTTTGCTTTTTGAAACTCCCTGGATTGTGACTATCAAGATTTAAGAACACAAAGCTAAAGGAAGAATCACAAAGAAAAAGTTTAGATCTGGATAGTGGTGGTCCAGAGAATTGGCTCTTTGGCTGACGTTGAAATATTATCATGTTACTTCTTCATTTATGATTCCTGGACTTGGCCCTGACCATGCTTCCTATTTGATCATTGGATCACTCACATGACTTCTCATTTCTGGCTATCCTTCTCTGCTCATCCATAGCCTTATTGAACTCTAGACTTGTCATTGATCCTCAGTCCTTAGAGATGAATTATTCTCAGTTTCCTGACGTCCACTTTCAGATACTGTTGTTCCTTTTGTATTTCTATGTCCTTTAAGTTCTATCACTTTTAATGTTCTTTATAAATATTTTTTCTCCTGATTCTGATGCAGTTTTATCATCTTTCATTTAATTATTTATGCACCAAATTAGAAATGTATTATATGTAAGGTGCTTCTAAGTGTGTAAAAATAAGAATGCATGGAAATTCCTCCTCATCTTAAGGAGTGTATAACATTCTGGAATCAATATTTTAATGAAAGAAAGATAAATATAGATAGAATGATGGATTGATAAATAGATAACCCCTTACAAAGATAGACTTATGCAAAGATAGCCAAATCAATAGATACACAGATGCATAGTCATATTGAAACACAATTCAAAGAGGAAGAAAATGTATGATATGTGAATGATATAGCCAAGTTTTAAAGAACTTTATTTGGGAGAGATGTATTTCTGACTTGGAAGATCAGGGAAGACCACATGGAAAATGAGCATTTGTTTTGTTGGGATTAATGCATTCCAGTTTGAAGAAGCTGTGCATTCAGCTCTAAATGCAAAGGGCATAGAATCTGAAATACGTAAATTCCTTCTTTACATCATGCTGTCTTGAATGAAGGGAAATGATGAGGAATTTGGCTGAAGAAGTCAGGAGACGGGACTTCACCTAGTAGGTAACAGGAGCGAGAAGTGGAGAGGAGCACATTGTGTACTTTTATGTAAGAGTGTACTAGAAAATTGTGTTTTCGGCATAGTAGTTTGAAAAAGATACACTCAAACTATGGGCTAAGAAAGGTCAGTGATTATGAAAAAAGAGCTAGTGGGTCTCGACAACCAGGATAGAAAAAGACAAAGTCTTCAATTACAGGTGATTGGGATGATGATAAACCCATTGTTACAATAGCTAAGTCAGAAGAGGGAAGGTTATCTTCAGTGTAGAGGGTGAGTTTGGTTCTAGTCCATTGATTTTAGGCTGATTATCTGGCTCAGAAGAAGCATCCCACCACCATGAATAGAGAGTTTACAATTGTGGATGCAAAGATGCAAGAGGGCAGAATCACAGAGAACTAATACATATTACAGAGGACCCAGCAAAGAAAATACTAACAAGAAGGAATCAACAGAATGCTATAAAAGATGTAGGAAGGCCAAGAGAGATAAGAAGTTTGAACTTGCTGACTCAAAGGTCGCTGCTGATTTCAAGGAAGCCATTTCAGTAGAATGATGGTGGTTGAAACTACAGGGAAGTGGTTGGAAGAGAGGGAATGATGACAAATCGGAGACAGAGGGTATTGAATACTCTCTTGACGTGTGTATTAAGAGGTAAGAGGCGAAAAGGATGAACAGGGTTCAGTAAGGGTATTAGAAGGATCTTTGTCACTGTCCTAAGCCTACGTGTACACATAGCTAAGAAAAAGATCTGGGTCTATGGTCTTTAAAAGCATCTAGTACTGTTCCAGGGATCAAATAAATGTAAAAGGTGGGTTAGTTGACATTAATATTGGCTCATACTAATTGAGTAAATATATGAATTTATTGACCAAATTAGGCTGAAGGGCATTGGGACAATCTCAGAGGGACTTTCCTCAGAGAGATTACTGAGAGAAGAATATGGTTCACGTAATAACTCTGCTACTTCAGAGCACACTTTTTTGGAGATGCTTGCTGAATCTTGGGTTCTTTATAGGGAAACAGGGAAAGTAGTACTCAATGTGTACTTGGAGCAAGGATTAGATATATTAATGCACCTTAAGTATTTTGTAAGTAGTGGAATACTGTAACAGTCATTAATAATAAAATACTAGTGAGAAAATGTAAGACTAGACATGGAATTTTCTTTTTAGAAGTGATTTTTGAACTTCGAGTACTTCCCATTTGCATTTACTCAGTATTTATAGACCACTCAAGTCATTCTAGGTGCAATTTAGGACACAGAGGTCAACCTAGCTTCTACCCAGTGGATTTACAATCTGCCATAGTGCTAGCCAAGTTTTGTAATTTTATGCTCAATTAACATCTGGTTAGAACTTGTTCAGTTAACAAAGTGCTTGCCTCTAAAGATAAATCATGGGACTCTTTCACTACAACTTGAAATCTCTCTGATTTGGGATGCTTTCTGAACATAAAGACATTATTTTCCATCCTCGTTCGCATCATCCAACTGGGCTCCTCCTGTGAAGTGTCATTATGATGGCAGCTCCCACTGAGAGGAACACCAGCCCCACTCACTGAATAGGGTGATTGAAGCAGACAGGCATCTCTGATCACTGCTTTTAAAATGTGCCTTTTACAAAAATCTATGAGTGTATCTTCACGTAATTAATATTTGTGTAACCACAGTGATTTTTATGAAAGCCATATTTAAAGATCATTTACTTGCAAGTGGCCAAAAAACTTAGAAAAGAGATTGTCATCATCATCACAGAGTATGCCTACCCAACATTTATGCACAGCTCATTTTAGTGAAAATAGAAAAGCAGGACAAGAAAACATTATTTGGCATTCTGTAATTCAAAAACAGTTGACTACTTTAAATACCTTTTAGTTGGGTTCTGATGGTATCTAGGAAATTTTTTCTGCTGTTTTTAAAAATAAACAGATGAAATTGGTATAAACTTCTGATGCTTTGTTTCAAAGACTGCACATATAGTTTACTGGATCATGAAAAATACAGGTATATTTGACAATCAGATGTAAAGAGAATTTTTAGGGTCCAATAACTTCTCTTTGATCATAGTAATGTCTGGAATTATTTTTTCAAAACTTGGACTAAGGGAGGAAATTGGTTAACAAAATTGAAGTAAATCAGGCAGTGTAGATCTGATTGGGTAATTCTGTTCACCTTGCATTCTAAAATAGGTAATACTACTAATTAAAGGAGACGTTCCTTTTTTCTTTATTAGTATTGACAACATTTGTTCTTTCTGGTTCTTTTTGTTCATGGTAATATCATGGGATTCATTACTGAGGCATGTTGTCTTTGGTATTAGCTGTTATGGCTAATCTCGTCTTTTTGATATTATTTAATGTAACCTGTTGTGATAAGTCTTTTCCTTGCTTATATTACTTTAGGTATTTTTTTCCATGAAATGATCTCCTTATCATAATGGGTGTTTTCTTTTTAATACTTCATAAACTCTGCATTGTAAGTTTATCATATTTTTGTTTATGCCTCAAAAATTGGAACAATGTTAAGAAATGGGCAGCTGTATCATATATTTTGGATGTATTCCCCTTCCATTCCTCTTATATTGCTTTGTAACTCTGGAATTTTCAGTGTTAATGGATGCAACCTTTTAAAAAGCTTTACTAAAAATAGCCATGAAGCACCTGAACTTATGAAAGCAAGCTTATGGTTTTCGTATTTCCCTATTTAC